TAATAAATTGTAATGCAGAACATTACAAAGTAACGAACATAAAACAAATAATGAAAGTTAACATTGGTATTTATTTATCCTTATTTTATATAATAAAAATAATAAGGTAGGTATTAGAGTGTAGGTAATGCAGTTATTTACAACGTACCTATTTTGGCTTCGTGTATGGACATTTCACAAAGTTTAGCTTTGCTTTAGAATTATTGTTAAAATTGCAAATATCTCTATACTTATATATTCTTCACGGAAGTAGTGAAAATTGTGTGAATAAAATATAAAAATAACGGCAGTATTTATAGTACAAAACTGAGATAGCTTCTGTTATAATATATTTAATTTTGTCTATTTTCTTGTAAACGCTTTATGCAGATACCATCAAAGCAACTTAAGTTTTATTTGGCACATTATTAATAAAAATCCATATATGAACCATAGCAAGATTTTCGTTCTTTCAAAAACAATTAAACATTACATTTACAACCAAAGTATGAGTATAAAATTTAAATATATTAAAGAGACATACAATTTAAATTCAGAAAATTATCAATTGTATACAATTTTACTAGAGCATCTTTAGGTTATCGGGGTATTGTTATCGTTTCTTTAGATTTGAAAAAAAACTTAATTTGTATTATTCGAATAACGATTAAGAGCAGTTTATCTTATCTAAAAATGATTACAAGATTGTTAAATATGGATTAATCTCACTGCTTTTTTACCTAGATTTACTCAAAATTAGAAAACTTCGAATAATAAACACATCAAAAATGATACCAAATTGTATTCGTTTCCAATTTTTAGAAGTACTTATTTTAAAGAAATTTTTAGAAAAATGGATTATTTTTAGTTTACCGTGAGACACAGCTTTCTTAACGCAAAGTTTAAAATAGACATTTTTGTCATTATTGATTTATTAGATACTTTTAGGTTAAATTTTCATTTATTATTACTTTTTTAAATATTTTTAATAATCTCAGTCAAATGAAACTTCTTACACGCATTAATTGTTTTTTTTATTTTCATCATATAAATATTTTACACGTTTAGCACGTTCTTAAATACTGAAGTAATAATATCTTTAACTAGAAATATTTTACACTTGATAGAGTTTGATTTATGATTTTGGTGCACCTACTATTAGTTAATTGTGAAATATATTTTTCGAGATTTTAAGTGTATTTTTTTAAGATTTTTTTAATGCTTGAACTGGTAGCCCTGCATAATAATATTCAACTCTGTATAATTTTTGCCCGATTTCACCATCCAAATCAGCACCACAACCATTTATTACACCAGTCTAGCATACATATAGCAATTTTATGTAGGCCTGTCGACAATCTACATACATTGGACTTTTAATACTTATAAAGGCAGTAGTTAAATTAATAAAATGTTATTAATAGACATAAAAACAAACCAAAATCTTTTATTCCCTCAAACTTACCCTGTATAATCAAGCATTTAAAAGAATAAAATTAGTATAGGTTCCACCAAATTATTATTGAAAATACCGAATTTCATGTAAACCAATAGGTACATATTAACTAAAGCACTAAGAGGAAGAAGTAATGATTTAAAATTTTTTTTTAAATAATATTATATTTGATACATTTTACTTAATAAACTGTAATCGTATAAAAGATATTATATAATTGTGTAACCGAGTAAAATTGAATAGGTTAAGGTCCCTCTAGATAATATTTTTAGTATGTTATTGAAAATAACATGTTATAATGGACAATTATCACATATTTTACATTTAATTTTTTATCATTGTAACAAAATGTAATGCATGTATGTATGTGTTTGGGTACATGGTTCATACAAAAGAACACGTTTTTATACTTTTAAAGCTCATTAACAACAGTTGTTTAATTGAAGCAAATCATACATACAAAATCAATAAATAAAAGCTCAGCACATCAAAATGTATTATCTGTACTGTTTATCATTCCATAACTTAATAATGTTTTATTTGTGCATTTTATCTTTTGTTTACTCTAAATCGTATGCAATAAACTGATAAGAAAAACAAGTTAATTGTAGTATTACATAGATCAGACGTCAGGTGCGATATTGAGTTTGGAGAAAAGTTTTGCAATTACAGATGTTATGTTGAAATCAATACCTAGGTATCTACTGGAAATGAGCTGTGTAAATTACAAACCAACCAAACTTTCGATCAATCCAGAAAGGTTATAACTTATAACAGGTTACGGACCACGGTGCAACAAACAAATGTATTTACCTATACCTACACATAGCCTATCTGAACAGTCAAATCAAAGCGGCCTTGGTATATTAAGGCCCAAGGGCTGCAATTAGTTCAAAACTCAAAGAATACTCCCGACTGAAAGCAAAAATGTAAAAATAAGTTCATACTTATGCAAATAATAATTGTCAGACCTCTGGTCTATATCGCACGCATGTATATGTGCAATTGATTGTGAACATAAAAGACGAAAAAATATAATAAATAATTAAATACATTCAATATACTCATTACTCATCCGTGTATGTAATACCTATAGGAACAAACTTAGTTCAAATCTGAAATCGAGTAAAGACGGAGCCGTTGTCCGCCGACCGGTTGACCGTTCTCCAACTACAATACCTACAGAATATGACTAGAAAATCGGTGGAATCAATACAATCGCCATTTTGCAAAATATCACTATCAGGTTCGAATTTTGTCGTATCGTTTACACTGAAAAGAACTTCATGAAAAAAAACCCGAGGAATGCGTTTGTTTACACGTTCGCTTGACGTTGACTGAAATAATACATAAATAAATAAAAGCGGAGCACGAATAAGATGTTTGAACAAGGGATTTGAAGGAATCATTCCTCAGGAATGAAATAGCTGAAGCATACTTGTATATTCAGAGTTCACACACTCCCGAATTGATACCGACTCGTTTCGGTTAATGTGGATTCCAAGTCGATTGCCTATTTTCGTTTAGCGGTTACCTATAATAAATTTTTAGACGCAATTATGTTCGTGAACCACCACACAGAATGACATATATTATGTATAGGTAAATTTTTAAGACCATATAGAGATCTACAGCCATTTGATTACCTATTTTCGCTTATCGTGAGTTGGCATTTTTATATCTAACGTTAAAAGAACCCAATTAAAAATTATATAGTTTGTTCTTTTGCAATTCATAGAAAATTCGTTTATCAGTTAAGATATCATAGAGTTAAAATGCAATCCATATTCTAACTGATGAGCAAACCACGTCGAAATGGATAGAATACGGATGGATGATGAATACATAAGTGCGTCATGTTACAGATATATTCAGACACTAAACATCATATTTTATTTGAACCTGCTATTGTTTTCAATTGTTGATTTATTAGCAATCGACAATTTGATTATATTATAATCATTGTCCATCGATAGCTGAACGTAGATAAAATAATAAATTATTAAAATGTGGTACCATACAATACATGTTTAGAATTGTCCGAATTAATTCAATTTCATTATATAAACAGAAAAAACCATCAATACAGATAACATACATTGACCTAAGTAGGTCCATACTTGAGAATGATGTGTGTCTAAGATTTCGGATTTGGATTTGTTTATGGATAATCGAAATAATATTATCTGCTTACACTGGTTTGCATAATTGCATATAGTGCTTATATCTCTTCGACTTTGAAGTATATCAGTTTTGTATATTCAGCTTTATGTAGGTAAAGTAAGGATATATTTTTATAATTCCAATGGAAGTTCTATCTTTTTCACTAATTATTAATGTTGTAAGCTTTTAAATAAAAGTTGTTTTAAAACAATCTTCAGTATATTAGTAAAAATAAAAACAAATGTGTGTTTAAAATATTTTTTTTTAAATTATTCGAAATTGCAGATAAATAAATAAAGTAAATTATTTTCTTATTTTTGAGACAAATTTATTTGATTAGACTCGTTTCATTTGGTCCATACACATTAAGATAGAAAGACCTGTTCGATTTTGAATCAAGTAACTACAATAACTTAAAGTTGTAATGAATACAATTTAGAAATAAAAATGGTGAATGAATCTATCACTATTTCAAGAATATTTAATATTATCAATGGATTTTATTTAATAACAATTATTATAGGTCGTACATAAATGTATTGTATTGATTTTTAAGAAGGTAAAACGTCCAAAAAAAGTATGAAACATAAAAATTAATTAATGTATATAATATTGTTAAGTAATACGTTTGTTTCTAAGTATGCAGGGAATCTACTTTTATAGGACAATTCAACATTTCAAAATCCAAAGTATAATATATTTTATTTTCATACTAATGTTAACAATTCTAAAACATTATTACAAAACATATTAATGATAAAATTGTAGGTTTTAGAAAGACTATTAAAATTGATTTAGTGATACCACTGATACCTATTAAATTACATAATATGATAAACCTTAACTGTGATCCTTTTTTATTCGAACTAAAAAAAATATTTTATTAAAATATCTTACTTTAATAACTAACTTTGGTCTTATTTTTTTGTTTCATTAGACATTTAACTTCCAAATATTTGGAAAAATTATAACTATATTAATGTTGTTATGTTAATTATGACTTAAATAATTATGTATAATATATTAAAACATAAATTATTATAATAACTACATTTTTAAATGAAATCTTCACAAATTGTAGGCGTAATTACACTGAAATCGATATTAAATATTAAATAATGAAGAGAAGAAGTTTTTAGAATTTTTTTTGGTTTTTAGAATCTAATAACGAAATAGCGCTATTATGAAGATATTTTGTTACGCAGGTATTTAAAATAATAAATTCTTTTATTTTTATTTACGATATAGATACCTATATGCATTTGAAATATTATTATATTTATTAAACTCAATCAATCTTTATTCCGCGTGAAAATAAAAATATATTATGATAGTTTGAATTGCATTTCAGTCACTGAGCTTATTTAAATAACGTACAACATAGCTTAAAAATATATTTTACCTGTTAAATCGTGCAATCTAGGTCCAGCGTAAAACATTCCTGCTCTAGCAAACCACTCAAGTTGCATCTGTTGCAATTGACCAGCAGATACATTTGAGCGATTGGGATTGGCAGCTGTGGCTGAAACTGTTGCGATTGTTGAGCTTGGAGAATTATTGGTATTCGTATCTATGCGAGGTAATGGCTGAAATGCTGAAGATCCGTGAATAAATCCAAAACCACCATTCCGTCTATGGTCGCGGGTTAAAAGTTCGGTAGCAGATGAAGTGATTGGGAAGTCGGACTTCAAGTAGTTGGAATTATAAGTCAATGATCGCATTGTCGAGGTCGAAATTGCATCGTTCTCGTCGCTGTGTTTACCTTCGTATCCGAATTGTTGTTCCGGCCCAGGAGATATTGAAGCACTACGACTTGAACAAGGAGTAGACGAACAGTCTGATGACGCTGTCAATGATGTCTTGCGTGAAACTTCACGGTGGCCTAGCAACGCTTCTATACAAAACGAAGTTTTCTTCGACTTTGATGGAGAATCACTTATGGGTTTCTGTTTCAAATCTAATGGACTCGCCGAATACCGTACTCTGGGACACGAGTCTTCTTCAACATCAGACCGTGACATAATTGAACGCTTCGCGTTTTCAGCAACTATATTATATAGATAATTAATATGATTAATTAATTTGATTTGTTTTATGCGAAATAACACTTTAATGCAGTATCAATTGATGTGTTTCTACAGCGCACATGTGGTCGACTGTTACGAGATGGAGTTGATCATACAGAGAACGATTGTAAAAACCATTCGGCTACTTAACAAGGGGACGAGGGTTGGCGATACAGCTACCAGTACATGGGGTGAGAAAAGGGAAGCGAACGGAACGACCTTATTGGTTGCCGTTTTGTATAGAGGGCCACGCCTCTATCTCTTATTCTTTAGTAGTTGGCATATATGCGGGGTTACGGGCTTTTAACAACTTGTTAGTATCTTTACCAAACGCACTGGTCGTATTATTTGGCTTATTCATTTCTGTTCACGAGAACGATGTGATTTTATATCGCATTATTTATATGTTTTTTTCTTCCTTTTTTTTGTCACGCTTATAAATCTAACAAACATTATTCGAGTAGCCAAAAATATGAGTAACCAAATTACGAACAACAATGCTCTCGTGTTAAGGATTTTTTTATACTCGCTTTAAGAAATAACCATAATTTGTACAAATATTATACGTTTGTGATATGCCTACACTTATACAATATATAATTTTATAATAGTAATTTATTAATAGCCATTATATATATTAAACCTAGTTGGTTTATAATAAATTACTGTTGTGTAACTATTGGTATATGTTTATATAAATACTTTTATAGCTCTTATATTACAATATTAAAATGCACATTTATCTTTTTAATTTACACATTTTTTTATAATTTCCCTCTGTATTGCCACTTTATTCCGCATTTTAATCCGAATGAATTAAATGCTTTGTATTACTGATTAAAATTATTGTTATTGCGTGTACCTACGTAAAAACATAATATTATAAATACACTTTTATTGATCCACGTAAATGTGGCTTTGCGGTACAAATAAAAGCTTTATCCTCATTTTCTCAGTCATTGTATGGACGTATAAGGTATTTTACTAAGCAACTTTACAAAACAAAAAAAAAAATTAAAACTTTATTGATATTGTATCTACTGCTTGGACCAAATAGTTACTGTCAACTGGCTATATTGGCATTAATATTATAATATACAATCTACTATGTTGATTTACAATTAAATTTTCTTTTATTGCACCATAATAGTCGTCATGCGTATATATGTTTTAAAAGACGAATGTTTTTCCGCTATTGGATACCTACTTACCCATTTTGAGGCTTACGTTCTATTTTTTTACTTTATGAAACTATATGTTGAGTAAATAAGTGTATTTGTGCCTTGTTGGCGAACATCAAGCTCTAATATACCCTGCAGGGACTACGGGTAATAAGCGGCGGATCTGATCTAATCAGAGTCCGCACGGTCTGCCGAAAAACAAACATAGTTCTCGTAATTCCAGTCACGTACGAATGGGAAGGCTGGCGTGCGAGTATTAAGCTATTTATCGTTTTCCACGACGACTTATAGTTAAGTTTTGCGTCGTTTGCGCATGATAATGTATACGAATTCTCCATTGTGATCGTTCGAATGAAATATTACAACTGTTTGAACTGAATAAGTTGTTCCGTTCGAGACTAATATAAACGGCTGTTTTGAAATCGACAATAATTTTCTTTTTCGAATTCAATTTCAATACTATCGCTTAACGGCGTGTAATTGAATTGTTGCGTTATGGTTAGCTTTAATATACAGATACACGTATTGACGTGTAGGTATATTGATTGCTTGTGTATGTAGGTACCTACAGCTGATGGTTAAATCGTTGTTTGATGGTTAATAATATGTTTAAATAAACTAAATATTTTGCTTACAAAAAAAAAACTGCAGCAATAATGGATTATGAGAAAAAACGAATATATATAATATATATATTGAATTATATGTGTACATCATAATATGGTGTCACTAAGTCACTGTTGTGTGTAGGTCATTATCGTGTCTAAAAATAGGTACACATACACTCATTAAGATTATAATTTATATTATTATATTATAATATTGAAATCATATAATACAATTCACATCATTTATAAAACAATATAAATATTTGGAAACATTATCAATTTAAAAGAAAAAAATGACACTGATTTTTTTTATTCGTACCTACTTATAATGCTCATTGATCTGTCAAAATTTATTTTTAAATTCTAAGTAATGGGGAACTGATATTTAAATTCAACAATTTAAAAATAATTTTAAGAAGACCTATAAAAAAGTACAATGATAGTATGTTATAATTTTTGAAACAGATTAAGATAAACTATAAAGTATAAACTATATTATTCTACAAAAAATCACCCCTTTAAATGTTTATTTATTAAAATAAATTCTTAAAAACTAAAATATTAATCTTTTCTAAAAATAATTTAGGTATATGTATGTTACCTATCATTATTTTTGTTCAATTAATAAGTTCGTTCGTCGTATAAACATATACATATAAATATATAGTGAATACTAATTTTAAAAAAATGTTATCGATTTATTTTTTATTTAAATATTTTAAAGTATTAGAATTTAATAATATCTTTTTTTTTAATGTTAAGTCTAATTATATCTATAATATCCATATATATATAAGGTAAATTAAAAAAAAATTATAATCATATAATAATTCTCTCTGTAAATGTTCATAATAAAAACTTATATCAAAGATTTCTCAAACTAAGTAAGTTGCGAATGAGCTAAATAAATGTAAACGTTTTATTTAGGTTAGTGCGTATAGGTACTGAAACTGAATAATGACGTCGTTAATTTAAATTTTAAGGTGTACGAACTTAGCACTTAGCCCCACCTTAAGCAATCAAATCCATATAATAGTACCTATAGGTACCGTACTAATGATGTAATAATAAAAATAATAAATTAATGTAAAATTAATATTGTTTTAACGTTCAACTTGGAATATATGTATTGTATAATGTATATACTACACATATTTGTATGCACAATATTGGCAGCTACACTTTTGAATTAACACAGAGTACTGTGATCGAGGTAGGTACCTACTTATTATTGCTTTTTCTTTAACCATATCTACTACGGAAAAAAAATCGTTCGTAAAAATATAATTTAAAAATTAAAACTCCTATATTTTATCGATATTTTTATAATATAGGTACCTATGTGAACATATATTGTTTGCTTTCCAAGCTTTGTACACTCGCCATTGATAAAATACTAACTTATAAATTTGTTTTTATTAAAGAACCGGAAGATATTGATATAGAAATCTGAAATACAAAAACAGGATAATAATAATATAAATAAATATAAAGTACAAATTATAATAATTCAACAATTTTTTGTTTTACACTCCGAAATAAAAAAATCTCGGAGCATATTTGGTATTTTTAGTGAAACGTTTGCACATTTTTCGGTCCATGTCTGTATGTATATTTGTGTGTTTTATAGAGCATATAAGTCCCTAAGCCTAATGATCACGTATGATATAACTTTATTTAAGTTAGTACAATACAGTAAAAATGTTAAGTATGATTTACTATTATAATATGAATTTATTATATGTATAATAGTATTAAATTACCTTTCTCAAAATTGTTTTAGAATAGTAGTAACGGTATAATATGCATACAATATACATTATTATAATATGCTATACCTGTATAATACATAAGATATACTAAAATTACATCATATTTTTTCATTTGTATATAATATTTAAGGAACATATTGTTAAATACTTATACATTATGTAAATACATATATGTATCTAATAAACATCTTATAAAGTTTATAGGTTAAAGAGCATTATCGAAAAAACAATAACAATCGTTCATTTTTGATAGAAATATTTATTAGCTGCGAACCATTTCTATTTGATTAATATCATGCTTAAACTTGAAATAACTTTTACTAACACAACATTATTTTTTCCAATTACATAGTAAAACCATAAATGTTTTACGATCTTTGAGGATCCAATAGGAAATATTAGCTCTATAACAAGTTATTTATAAACGAAGGCGTGATACTATAATATTCGCTTGATGTATATAAAACAATTCAATATAAAAACGATTCGTGATCGGCAGAAAAAAAGAAGTCTCATTACGAAGCCGCCATTTTGGAATGATGATACGCAACTTGGCACTGAGCTCAAGAAACAAAATAAAATCTAACGAAGCGTTACATAATTTGATTTTAACCTACGCCTCCCTTGCTTTGTGTAACCAGAGGGAAAAACAATTTTCCCACCACACTATATATATGTACGTACACGTATAAGCTTACTACTCATATTTTCATTTACGCTACAGTTATTTTCAGTAGCGTGGTCGCGTAGGTATCCATAATTTTTTTTTGTGTGGGTTCAAATATTCCTATTCACCCTCTAATAAATACTGATATTCATATATTTAAACATTTATTATATTTTGCATGAGTTGATTATGTAGCCATATATAGTTATAACTTATATAATCCTTTAACCCAAGACTCTAAGGTGGCTAGGAGGCTGAAATCATACGTTATGCATAAGTAGCGATAAATGTAGAAAACAAAATTTATTGTTTATAGGATTACAAGAATAATTATAATTATTGAGATAACTTATTATTATTCTATATTAAAAAAAAAAAATAGCTCTATTATAAGACTTAAAAAGGTAGAAAGTCGGTAGCCGCTTTGCTGTAGCTACAGTTGTAGATGTCGAGCGTACCTCATCATTGAAGAGTAAGTCCGAGTAACTAGTAGCATAGGCGTAACTTGGCGGGGGCGAATGGAAGCAGCTGCCTCCACGACCAGAAATTTTCGGGAGACATTGTCCCTATACTATTAGTTAATTGCATCCTGTTCTGAGGCGCATAGTACATTCGTACCTAATATTATATTCATTTGCTCTACATATTCAGCTAAATATAATAGTATATTAATATTTCTTTTGTGGCTTAAATTCTAAGGCTAAGTGGTATAAACATTTAAAATTTCTAGAACACATCTATAATATAAATATATACATATATATTTGTACATAGTGTCCATGGCTTATAGATACAGATACTGTGATTTATGTAGAGGTACTTTGGTTGTGATATGATATTCCCTAATATCTCATCAGTTATTCACATTAACATCACACGTGTAAGAATTTTAAAGTG